CTGGGCTAATGAAGACGAGCATACACCATACAGTGTGCTATGAGAAAAATTCTCCCTGACAGTGCCGCTATGGCTTATTCTTATATCGAATTCCAACTGCCAAGGATTCTTTTATGTGCACACCAACTGGACCCCAGTTTCCCATCCCATCTGAATGACTATATCATGGCATCCAGTGCTCAATCCAAATTTGTTTGAAATCCCTCAGCAGAGCAAAGATTTATGATGACACCTTGCACAAATACTAGTACAAATCCAAACACGATGTGCCTTTGTACATACAGTTTCTGACTGCATTTTGCAATTCATTCAACACAAAAAAACAAAAAGTAAGGTATATATGGATATAATTAATTCTCTTTTATAAAACAACAACATTTCATAACCCTAGAGATTATGTTTTAATTTCATGTTGCACAAGTGACATCTTTTCTTTCTATGTATGTAATCTTACACGCATTCTCTTACTTTCAAAACACACACATGGTCTGACAAATCTTCCATTGAAAAACAATAATCCTGTGGTTTTTATCCGTTTCTATTTATATTTTATCTACATAATACAGTTCTACTAAAAATAGAAGCGATTACCATAAACAGGAATCATGGATTAAAAAATAGATTTTCTCTCACATCACGTAGGCTAAAGATTAGGTATTAATTTCTTTTAATCTTGCTATCTAAAACTTAGCCATTCAACATAAGGTTATTTTTATTATTAAAATAACCGTGTCTTATCTTATACCTATTGTAATCTCTTTTTTTATTTCGTAATGTATATTTTCAGACAATAAATGGGTTAATATTTTGATACAAATTACCATATATCTCATTTTCACAAAATTCAGAAAGATTATAAACTGACGCAATTTAACATGATGATTATCTTGGGGTTATATCGATCTTGACCTCACATTTTATCAGAATTTATTATTAATTTTTATAGCCTCTATATTTCTTACAATTTCAAAATACTATTGTGTGTGTGTGGGAGAAATAATACAGGAAGACAAACAAGTTTGAATCGGAGGAGAAAAACAACTTGATTTATAATGTTAAATCTATAATAACATAATACTAATATCACTAGGCCTATTATACAATCATTCAACTTAACCCTCTTTTCCCGTATTTAACATTTACAAGAAATGGTATTTAAAAATCCCCGTTCAACAGTTGTACAAAAACAGATATTAGGTAGAAATCTGGTGGTTTATTCATATTCATAATGCTTTTTGTTAAAGGACAATGTTGGTGTCAGTCATTATCACATATGTGATAGAACTGGTTAAATATGTTCCAAATATTGCCCTTTAAAAGACCCTTTATCAGATGACTGATATCAATTATTCGATAAAGGGTCTTTTAACAGCAATCATTGATAAAGGGTCTTTTAACAGCAATCATTGATAAAGGTTTAATTTTCTTTTTGTTTGTTGAATCTTGTGTGCAGATTAAAAGTAAGTGAAATCTTTAACATACACAAAAATCTAAACATTTATCTGATACCGCGACCATGACTATGTGTGTGGATTGAGGACTATGGACTGTTCAGTCGATCATTCAAATGACTCCTGGCGGTAAGATTTTAAGCATCCTCTCTGAGAAGTCTTTAGTTAGACTTCAGAGGTCCATTCTATCTAGAATGATGTAAATGAAATGAAATGAAATGAAATGAAATGAAATGAAATGGGGTTTAACGTCCTACTGTTCTGCTCCTATACTGGGCTAATGAAGACGGGCATACGCCATACAGTGTGCTATGAGGGAAATTTTGCCCGGGCAGCGGCACTATCGCCTACTCTTATATCGAATTCCAACTGCCAAGGGATCTTTTACGTGCATTCCAATGTATACATGGGACCTCGGTTTTTTGTCTCATCCGAAGGACTAGACAGCTGTCCTTGTCAGGCCCTCCGTTCTGCACCACTGACAAGAGGAAACCACGTCGGAAAATCCAGATTAACTTTCTCGGCCAATGCAGGGATCGAACACCCGACCTCCAGGCTAGCGAGCCAGCGTCTTAACCACCTAGCCACCGTGGCTCCCCTAGAATGATGTAACCAAAAGTGAACTGTGAAAGCCTTCAGTACATGCTGAAATTCTGATGATATATTATAGCTTTTTGCAAAACAATCAATACAGAATCACTATTCCTGGAGGGAAATCCAATTCAAAGGTCCATGAAAATAAAAATGAAAACTTAATATGATAACAGATGGACTTCATCAGGGGAACTACTAGTATTCTCATTGCAAAGTAATATTAGGTGTTTCAGTGATTTTTTCATTGTCGCCTATGACAAAAATCATTTAATACAAGAGACAACAGAACATACACTCACAGCAGCTATGGCGTCCGAGCAGTCCATCAAGGCTGGCACATTTTTATTAATTTTTCTACTCGTAGGCAATGCAGCAAGCTTTTACAAAACACAAAACATGGTCAAAGACAACAACCCATGACATAATTCTTAAAATTATACAAAACATGATATGCTTCTAATTCCTCCTCGCGCTAACATCAACCTAATTGGCTGTTCGAATGACCAGAAATCTTTGAAAATCTATATGCCTTTTAGCAAAAATATCGCAGTAATATATATAGTGTATAAATGTCAGGTTAATCAGATGTTAATATTAGCCTCTAGAACGTCCACAAGATTTTTATAAGTGATCAAGGTCCATAACTCTAACTGTACTTATTTGAAATGTTAAATATCAATGGGTGTCTTTGTGACATGAACAGAAACGCTGAGTATCAATTTCAAGTCAATCAGCTGATAGCCACTAGACTGTCTACAAGTAATTGCGGACAACGGACCAACGGATGGGTTGTATATTAATATATATACAACCAAATTTCAATCCGGGCATATATAAAAATAATTCTATATCTTGCAATAAAATAAATAGAAATCAAAGTTTGCAGATAAATAATAACAATGGAAATGCTTATTTTTTTATTTTTCCCAATAAATCTATAAGTACAATGTATATTTAACGTTCTATTCTCAAGTCTGACATCATTTGTCGCGGGGTTATTGACTCATCAAGAATATCATTACGAAAATGTGCTGGAATCGGTGACCTGATAGATTTTCAGATTTTATTGCACTAACATGCAGATAATAAACAAATACCTTGGATCAATAGCACTATCTGTATCATGGACAAAATCTGCTAAATAAACCTACACAATTCAAATATCGTACAATGTTATTAATAGAAATAACACATACAAGAGTAGAAAAATAGAACTTATTAATGATTATCGAAATCTAATCAAGTTATCTTTCTTAATGCATGTTTTAAAGAATATTACAAAGAACAACCTAATAACATAACATCCTGGGTTTCTCATAACTTATCTACAAATAACTATTTCAAACTAGGAAGAAGACATCTATTTATTTTTTTTACTTTTTTCTTAATGCATGTTTTAAAGAATATTTCAATGAGCAATCTAATAACATAACAATCGTAGGTTTCTCATAACTTCAATAAAATAACTTTTTCAACCTAAGATGACATTGATTTTTAAAGATATTTTTCTAACTTGTACTTCTAGACATTTTGCCATTTCGCAGAATGTTGAAGCAGCTTACATCCATCGTATCAGTTAATCTTTGTATATCTAAAGAAAGCTTCTGTGAGGCAAACAAATGTATTTCTTCTCCCAAGTTTTATATATCATAAATCAATATGTAATTCTATTTGGTTTGGAAAGCCGATTAACAGAACTTTTTTTGGCTTGTTTCAGTATCCTGTATATTGAACTTTTTGGCTTGTTTTAGTATCCTGTATATTGAACAGTTTGCACTTTCATTATGCACTTTATGAACAAGCCTGGACGGAAGGCACCTGTCACAGATTTTGTCAGACACCAATTATCACACAATGTTTTTTATATAATATATACGTTGTGCAATAATTTGCGTCTGACAATGCCTGCGACTGTTGCCTTATGCCCAGGCTTGTATATCCAGGCTTGTTTATGAAAGAAAAATAAAAGACTATTTCACACTCCTCGGTTATCTTTGCATCGCAGTAAAAATTCCACAAATTAGTTGAATTTATTGTGACTCATGATACATGATTCACTTTCAGGCCAGACAAATATTAATCACCTGGCTAATTTTACATCGTAATCTAAAATTTTCATGAAATCAAATAAACTTTTATCATTAGTCATAAGTTATACTTTTAGTATTTGAAAAGCTCTAATTTCGAGATCATTTTTGCATAATCAGAGAGTCATAAACATTTTGTGTCAAACACATGAGGGACAGCTTATGAGCTGTGCCTGAAGAAACATGAAATTGAGTCCGACATCAAATTAAAAATTATTATTAGTCGTAAGTTATTATACCTTTATCATTCTAAACATCATAATTTCCGGATACATGTTAAGTCACTTTTGAGTTATCATTTTAAAAGTTTAATTTCAAGATACATGTTCATTTCCTTTATTAGAGTTTTTTGGCAAGAGCAGATAGCCATAAAATGACAACATATAGAAGCTGTGCCTGAAAAAACATGAAATTGAGCCTGACATTGCCTTTTGTCCAGGAAATCTGGGGTATGGGTATATTATCAGTATTTGGGAGCTAAAATAAAATTTTCAGTTGGTTTTCATCAATACATTTTGTAGCAGAAATATCACCTTTGCATAGAAATGACCTATCACAGAAGGTAATGTCATTACATAACAGTAACTGGCTAACAAAATGGCATTTACATCTGATGTTAGTGCCATGTAATTACAGATTCATACACAGTTTATGCCTCTGATCTGCTTTTTCCATGCAGAACTATCATTCCGTTTGTTTTTAATGATAATAGTTATGTTCTAATGTTGAGCTATTATACTTACAGATTGAATAACAAAATAGTGACCATGGCTGCAGTTGGCCTGACTATCTATATATGAATTGATAAAAAAAAAGTCTATGTTTCAAATCTGGAACTAAAATAAAGAGAGAATATAAGATAACTTACTTTGATTTCACGTTTACACCTTTCTACATTTTTAATATTGGCCAATTCTTCCTCCCCGTATAATAATATTAAAGCATGGAAGATATTATCTAGTAGTTTATTTACATGACAATCATCAGCATTATCTTCACTTGTTACAATAATCAGATTTATACTGAAAATAAGAGAGAGATGGTATTTAATGTTTACTCAATATAAACTTGGTCAATTCGAGACTAACATATGGTAAATCTTTAATCAAATTGAATGTGTTCGGGTGTCTTTATATATCAGATGTGGGAGGACAATTGAGAACCCGAGAAATGAAATGAAATGGGGTTTAACATCCTACTGAGAACCAGACAAAACCCATAAGGTTAGAACCAACTAAATACGAACAAAACTGATGGGGTTCCACTTAACCATAGTTAGTAATCCAGTCTTTTATTAAAATAAAAATATTATAATATAAAAAAATTGGTACATATTAAAAATGCCTGATATGGAAAAATAAACTTTTTTTCAGAGACAATTTCATCTTCACTAAAAATAAAATTGATGTCATGCTTCCTGACTGGGTGAAGCCCTAACCAGGATAAGTGTTTATAATAGCAATCCAACAGGTGGAGTATTTGCTACAAACATAAACAATACTCTACTGTGTATGCTATCTTAATCACACCCAAGTATATATCATAATAAACAAAAACATTTACAAGTAGCAATTGAGGAGGCGGTGAAGCGTAAATCCTAAAGTAGTACTAACTGTTGATTAGAGGCCAGTAAAACCAATCAAGAGTTAATTACTATAATATACTCCTGGTAATAAGATTAAACCTCTAGGGAGGTGGGGTATATTTGTTGTTAGATAATCATTGAGCCGTGACCTACAGGGGCTGTTTAAGATATACATGGTAAGAAGTGTTAATCAGATTATGTATATTGTTTTATTTAATGATGTAATCAATGTTTATCTTCACTCCAGTGATCATCCTAGTCTGGTATATCACAAAACTGCTACTGTATCCATCATTACTCAACCATGTCCAGTAATCTGATACACAGGGACAATATTATTACTTATTCCACTTCCACTTAAGTTTTTCTACTTTTAATTTTTAAAAGTAAGGGGAGCCCCGATGGCTCAGTGGGTACGGCATTGGCTCACTAACCTTGAGGTCCCTTATTGGATCTCTGTGTTGGCCAAGAAAGTTCATCAGGATTTTCCGACGTGGTTCTCCCTTGTCAGTGATGCAGGACAGATGGCCTGGCAAGGGAAAACGTGTAGTCATTCGGACAGGACCAAAAATTGAGAGTGCACGTAAAAAGATATCTTGGCAATTGGAATTCAATATAAGAGTAAGCCATAGTGCCACTCTCCGGGCTAAATTTTCCTCATAGCACACTGTATGTTGTGTCTGTCTTCATTAGCCCAGTTGGAGCAGAACCCCATTTCATTTCATTATTTTTAAAAAGTAAGCTTACATCATCCTTTGTTTTACACCTTATTTTTCTTTATAGTAAAAATCTATCACACATAAACTCTTGATGTCTAAATGGAATTTTCTTCAACAATAATTAAAAATTATGACATTTTATAATGACCTGTTAAGAAATGATTTCCAAACAATCTTGGAGCCTTCTGTTGTTGCAGTTTTTAATTCTGTGCCATGATTAGCAGCAAACATATGAACAGCATTTAAAGACCCAATAACAGGGAATGGCAACTGAAATAAACAGGAAAACAAAATAAAATTATTATTATTATTATAAATGTCAATTATTTCAACATGGCTTAAAAAGTATTAGCTAGCTTTGGTTATTGTTTTCTTTTCAATAAGCTTATACAGACATGGTTTATAATCAGAATTACGGATATATTAAAAGTTGCAGGTGTCACACCATGCTGTGTGCTCATCCTTTCTCAAATTCATGGCACTCCACGAATGAGACATGTTCCCATTTAAACATTTTTTATTTTGTTGGAGCCATACTGGCTCAGTGCGAAAGGTGCTGGCGACCAAGAAAGTTCCCAGGATTTTTTTATTGTGATCTCCCCTTGTCAGTGGAACAGGCGACGCCACAGAACGCTTTGGTATGCACGGAAAAAAACCTTTGATATTTGGAATTCGAAAAAAGAGTAGGCTGTAGTGCCGAAGCTTGGGCAAAATGTCCCTCATAGCAGACTCCAGGTGGTATGCCTATCTCCATTAGCCCTGTTGATGCAGAAAAGTATGATGTTAAACCCCATTTCATTTTGACAACCAGTTAACACAGAATCAGAGTAGTGTACAAGTCTCATAGTGTTTCTAAAATACAACCAATCGTGTACTAGTATTCTACATATCAAAGAGTTTTACATACTTTCTGCCCTAACTAGTGTACAAGTCTCATAGTGTTTCTAAAATACAACCAATCGTGTACTAGTATTCTACATATCAAAGAGTTTTACATACTTTCTGCCGTAACTATTGGCAGGCTGCATAAGCATTGGGAAGTGTGGAATAAGAAATGTGAAGTCACAACATTTATGACATGCTTCTATAAATTATGGTGTCTAGAAATGCAATATCGACTATGTGACATCAATATTATTATCTATTATGTGCTTATTTCATATGAAATAAAGGTCATATTGACATGTTTGAAACATTATTGCAACATTGTTTTGTTTTTCCCAAAACATCTTGTTTACTTTCGATTTGTTTACATTTGGAAAAGTTTGAAATGCGGGGTGTCTTACCTAATTGACTTTTAATTTGATTATGGAATCAGTCATCATTAATTGATTAGGTTTCTGTTAAACTAATTATGACATTTAAAAAGCTTACCGGTTTCAAATCGCCTTTGGAACGTGTAAAGAGTGGAATACCACCTCCAGAAGTAAGGCAAATGAGATAAGCAGCCATTTCTAAACAAATCCTTGCGCATGCAATCGCGCGCCACGCGTTGAATCATGGGTAAATAAAATGGCGCTGTGACTTAAACGATGCGAGCAGCTGTCAAAGAGGTGACTTAACTTACGGGTAAGTTATCTTTATTGACATGAAAAAAAATGAACTGTCAGTGTTAGAACAAGACTTGATATATATGTCCTCAAAGTTTGGATAATTATTTCAATTAAATATTGTCTGTAAAATGAAGTTATCTAACTCATAGTTTGCGCTATGTATGACACCCAATCCATTGTTTTGGATCGCGCACATGTTCGAGTGTGTGGTAACTAAACGTTTTTGTGCTGTCATTTCGTCACATTCTTTCACACAACATTTTGACAATTTGGGGATATTGTCAAGACAAATAAATATTCTATATGTATGGAATGATATTTTAAGTTTTAAATGCATTACTCTTCGACAGAACTGGCACTTTTATGTATCTAATAATAGCCATCATCGCTCATTGACAAAGTGTTGTACGTGCGTAATAGTATACGGTATATTGTCATGACCCAAGCTATATCGATCGGTTTCAATACTAGTAAAGATAGGCATAAAGAAATAAGAAATCTTTGTGACCGAATCGTATAACAAGTCAGGCCGTAAGGGAATCATTGCTCCGTACGTAAGTATCATGATTTAGCTTTTATTTACAAACTTTTTGCACAGTAAATATAGTTTATATGTAGGGGACCTCCCACGGTACTTGAGATAAGGGAGGGCTTATATGAATGGGTTGGTAGCTTCATTGATTATTCTGGCGTGTGCCACTGGCTGTCCTATCACTTTCTTTGTGTGTACGCGGGATATTGGACATATGTCACTTAAACTATACCATGCTTGAAATATTTTACAACACATTTTGACAGTTTGGTTTTTGATATTCGATTTGTATACTAGTGTTTCTGGATCCAGTGGAACTAAGAAGAAAAAAAAAAATAACTTTTGAGATTTTTTGAAGTGGCATAGGATTGTACTTGGACTTCTTTGTATGGTACTTTATTAGTACCACCATTATAGTAACTCAACTGAAGCCTACATTAAGTCATTGTGCCTTTGTGACAGTTAGTTAGATAGGAATCAAACGACTATAGATAGACATTCATAGATCTACAATTTTCAAGTTGATATCCTCAAAACATTACTGAAAATTACTGAGGATTTTCTTAACCCTAGGTAAAGTGATATTGATTTTTATTTTTTTTATTTGTTAATTAATGTTGAATTGAAGTGGAATGCGATGTCTGAATTGTGCATTAATTTGTTTTAATAGCCTGATGAAGTTAGGCAGGCAGTCGGTATGAGTCATCATTGCCCCTATTTGCACACAATAGACCCTCACCAGTAGCATGAATATGGGGAGAACTTTTTCTTTGTCTGGAATTTTTTGCATGAAAGAATTCAAATTTAGGCCAGAATAAAACAGATTACGTGATATTCTTAATTTTTATTTGATTATGTAATATAATATACCTAATTCCATTAATTTGAAATGTCAAATTTGAAAGATTTGTTTTTTAAAGGATTAGTTTATTCTTCCTTCTGCTTTTCTGTCGTTGATTTTTTAATTATGAGTCAGATTTTTTTCAAATTATTTTTTCTCCCTGACTCTGTGATGGAATTACAGACATTAGGTTTGATTGAGCCCAAGTGGTACATGCATGTTGTTAGGAGCTGAAATTGCAAATTCAGTTGATCCGCATGAGTGATTTTGACGTCATTCTGATTGTAAATGCAAATTGTGTGTTACTGCACACTTTAGATATACTTGATAAGAAATTATAAAATCAATTAAGAGTTATCTTGATAATCTACATTTTTAAAATTTAAAACAATTATGATGAATGATTGATATCATTAAAGAAAGATCAGCTTTGATAAATTACATCAATAATAGATCAGGAAATTAATGATGCAGTAAGCAATTGATAGGAAACTTTACACACAAAAAATAAAGGAACCCAGATGTAAAAGGTCATTTTTGTCAAAAAATGCATTTGAATACAAATTAATGAAGAAAAAAAAAGTTAGCACATGAATGTTTTGAAGCGAAATGTTAAATGCATTCTTTCTCTTAAATTGTTAGTAAATTGCTTTAAAAAAGATTTAAATGAATTTTGCAGAAACTTTTTTCCTTTATTAAATTGTGAGAACAAAGAAAGTTGAGAACCGAAGTAAGATTTTTGTCATGTAATGGACGATAAAGCACGAAGAATAAATTAATCATTTTTTTACATTTATAACAAGACCTACATTGACGTATTGTTAGTGATATCGAATCAAACGACAGATCAATGCCTACTTCATTACAATTCATCCCTGTTACAATGGAGAGAAAAAACCAATTAAAACATCATCAATATATATGAAGTATATTGAAACGGGTATGAAAAGTAAACATTAATATCGTACTATATAATGTGAATATCATGTTTGATTTAATTGATTCGCGTAAACAATAGAAACTATATCAATATATAAAGTCAAATTAAAAATACTTGGTGAATGGAACAAAGAAATAAAGGGTGACTGCATAATAATCTTGATGTGTTATACTTGATAAGTGTATGGGGTATAAGTCTCCCATATAATAGCAGTAGGAAATAATTCCATTGTTCTGCCAGTTTCCCTGCAATCTTTGCATTATCAGTTGATTGACAGCCATATAATGAAACCCCCACTGTTAGGCCAATACTATTGGTCAATATCTGACAACTAGATATTATATAATCGAAAGAGATATTTTACTATGTACAGTTTATTAGAATACACCAATTGCTTTTATGGCAACAGTTACATACTGGTTTACATTTTATATCTTTAACTGTTAGTATACTTGTACATGGTTTAATATCAGTACATAGCTATTAGCTTTAGTGGGAACTTTTTAAACAAAGTGGTATCAGGTGTTCTAGATGTTTTAGCAAAGTAATTCATTTGATTATCAGGTAAGTTTTTAGAGTTAGTTAAGTCTTTTTTTGCAACTTTAACAGTTATCATGTATACATGCGCATGGCTACTGTCAGTATGAACTTCATAAGTTGTATGCTTTAGGAGGTGATATCAGATGTTCTTTAGTAACCAATTTATTTGATCATCTGTTAAGTTTTAAAAACTTATTGAACACAATTTTAGTTCTTGGTCGATTTTATTAAAAAAAAGTTGTAATTTTTATATGCAGTTTATTTCTTTTTTATTTCATTTTGCTATGCTTACATATACAGTGTAGTTTAATTCCAATGCTTTTGATTATCAAGAAAGTTTTTAAAGCTTACTGAACACAAATTGCATCTTTTAGTATACTTTCTATTTTCTTATCTTTACTTTCGCAAAGTTTAATTGTAAAATTTGTTTAAAAATTGGATTAATTCTTTGAATGTTAAATAGTTTTGATGAAATAGTAACTTGTGTCTTTCGTAATTTTCTGATTTATGTAGTTTTGTAGACCTGATAAACTTAATCATTCATTATATACAAGAGCTAAATCTGCCTATTACAGGTCTTTCTGTAGGCCTTAAATGTTATCTAAATTATTAATTAGACATTAATTGACTTACCAAGACCATAATCAACTCTCTCTATGCCATTGGATTCCTGAGCTATTAGAGGATTTGAATACATTTTATGGTGGATGAAAGAACCGTAAAAATTCTTAATCGATACTTTGTGTATTATCGTAACAATAGTAGTAACGATGATCGAGGCTAGCCTAAAAATGAATCGCTAATATCTAAGTTCAGAGTGAAGTAATTTGACTGAAATTTTAAGCATATTCTCTTTTCATTATCTATTTTTTTTAGCTATTATAGCGAGAACTGTCAGCTCTTTATCTAATCTTACCTAATGCTCCTTTAAGTTTCTGAAAGGTTTAAAATCAAATTGTGAAAACTTTATTCAAACAGATAGGTTACACTGACAATAAATTTGAAGAGAAGTTAATTCTTGGGTTTGATTTAGTTTTTTCATGCTGCATAAATGTATTTTCAATATAGTCCATGCATTTGACAATTGGATTGCAACTGTAACTGATAACCAATTGCTTAAAGTTTGATAAGATTATTTATTTCTCGAATACCAGTATCGTTTTATATAAGATAAATTGGTTGCTTACACCATGCTTAAATTTAACTGAAGCTTGTGGAAGTTTTTAATACAATTTTTATCATTAGTTTCTCCGAGTTACAAATAATGAGACATGTTTGGTTTTATATACATCCAATACGGGTGATAATTAGGTAACTGATATCCAATTTTACATACTTTATCACTCTAATCCATTTCTGGTGGACAGTTTTATTCACTGCTTCTGTTTTATAAGCAGTTTATTTTGTCAATGTCTTATAAATATACATTGGATATTTGACAACTAATTTACACATCGAGAATTGTCCAAATGAAACAAATGGTGTTTCACTTCTTGACAGATCTTTATTGAGACTAAAAAAGTTTTTTTTTCATGAGATATATTAGAATTGAACATCACATCTTGCAAAACGGGTTCATGTATTGGTAGGAGATCAGCTGATTGACCTTACATTCTGCACACAATCTTTTATGGAATCAATCCCCTGTTCAGGCCTGGAAATGAGGCAAGTGTCAGAAGACCATGTCAGGCACAAATTATTGGTTTGTCAGCCACAATCCCTCTGGTGGCTGTCATTTTTTCTGGTACTATTTGACTTTTTGCAGTGTCTTGATATCTTAGTCCGGCACAAAATGCAAAATATTGGGTACTAGTTTTTCAGTTACATCAAAGAATATAATTTCTGGAACTGTGTCAATGTCATTCAAGCACAAAATATAATTATGTAAAATCAAAATTATTTTTTTGAAACAATGAATAGCAATCCAGAAAACGATAGTGCCGCTTTAAACTTTTATGATCTTTTATATACATGTACTATTGGTGATGAGAATTAACCAATTGTATTCCACTTTATTTTGTCAGTGCGTACATATGACATTACCATTTCTCACTCATTCTTGCA